AATCACAATTCTTTAGTAACAATTCTAAACAGTCTACGAGAGTTATTTTTGGAAACAAAACATTAGAGTCAACGAGAATCCATACCCACGTCACTTGACTCGGTGACAGACTTCTGATCAAAACCGCACACGTTAGTTCACACGACCACCCAATATTTCAGAGCGTTTCTGGCAAAATACATGTATCTTTCAAAACGTTCGGAGCAAAATATCTTTCAAAATGTTCCTGGCAAAATATCTTTCAAAGTGTTCCTGGCAAAATATCTTTCAAAACATTCCTGGCAAAATATCGATCAGAGTTCGACAGTTTTTCTTTGGATAAGTAACATATCCAGAACAATCCTTTAATCTTATTATATATGAATTATTTATAGGGTAAAGGTTCAAAATCTCTTTAACAAATGGCGATAAAACTCCCGTAAACAAATATACTAAAAATATTATTGGAAGGTAATGGGCATGTCTCATTAGTTATGTGTGCATTTTGCCCTGTAACCTTCACTTGATGATTCATATTTTAATTTATCTTTTGTTATATAAATAACATTAAGTCAGTGAAGTTATAAAGAAACGGATACTGGTATTGTTCATAGACAATCTACATAAGATGATATTATATTCTTTGAAAAAAAAACAACAACAAAACAAAATATAGTCTCATGGTGATTATAATGAATGGTTTGATAAAAAATATTTTATTTACTTCTGTATACGATTTCATGTTACCTGTAATATGTTCAACTTATCTTTACATTTTGATGGGTACGTAAAAGATCCATGGGCAGAAGTTCAGGGGGGGGGGGGAGGAGGGCACTGTTATGCAAAATATATTCGTGTAAAGATTACCATCAGATTTCTGTTACTTATTAGACAATTATTGAAAATACACAAGAACTGGTAAATCTCTTATGTTTATAGTTTTCAATGTTGAAAAATCAATTTATAAACTTTTTGGGGCAAAGTAAGATAAAAACTTTATACATTATATCAGCTTCAGAAGACTAAGGAGCCACTGTGCAAGGACAGCTGTCTAGACGTTCGGATGGGACGATAAACTGAGGTCCCGTGTCTACATTGGCGTGTACGTAAAAGACCCCTCGGCAGTTGGAATTCGATATAAGAGTAGACTGCCGGACAAAATTTCCCTCATAGCACACTGGATGGCGTATGCCCGTCTTCATTAGCCCAGTTGGAGCAGAACAGTAGGACGTTAAACCCCATTTCATTTTAGAAGTGACGTCATTTTGTAAACATAAACATTGAGATATGCTATTTATCACAATTTGGAGTAATTTTGACTGTATGATTTGAAATGATATTGTGATTGAATAGAGGTTTGTCACGTATTTATTGTTATGGGTTACTGGGCTTAAAAATATCCTTAAACTATGATTATGGAAAACCAAATAAAACACTTTATGGATAACAATTACTATGGTTTATTACCCATAAGTGGTGTTTTATTTAAATATGTCCTAATTACTAAATGCCATTTATAGTATATTCTGGAAAACCGTGAAATTTTATTTATTTATGTAGGTTTAAGCTACTCTTCCCGTTTTGATTAGATTTAACTTTTAGATGTCCGAATCTTTTCCTTCATTTTTATTGAAATCTGAAATGCTTCAGAAAGTTAAATACTGCAAGCAGAAATCTTTTTCTTCGTTTCCAAAGGTTTTCCTTAACATCTAAAAAGCAGAATAAAACTTGAAATTTTAATTAGCATTACATATAACATAAAGAACACTATCTATTATTGATTATTTAGCATCTGTTTCTAAATCAAAAGCATTAATTGGTACATTAATAAAATAGTTAATTTATCTTTGAAGCGGTATAGATCAAAGCACTTAAGTGAAAAATGACATACTTAGGAAGTAATAAAATGTATAGGCAATATATAAGAAAGGTTGTAAAGATGTCGGGAGGGTTTAACAACGAGAAACATGTTACCTTGTGTCATACATACTTGTTTACAATAAATATATGTATGTGAAATTACAAGGCGTGCATTATTTCACAGATCAAGAGTCGCGAGACCACGTGAGCACGAGAGCTCGAGATGCAAGGTGGTCTATTGAGTACATTATTTATAACGTCTCCAATAAAATTAGAAAATAAAGATAGAGTTTTATATTGCCAGCCTCGTTTTACCTTCAATAAAAAAGTATAAAAATCATCCCTTATAAATGATTTTAAAAAGTTTTAATTTGTACTATTTAGAATATGAAAACGTCGATGTCATAAAGAATTTCAATTCTTAGAGCAAATGTGTAATATAAATTTTTATGAGAAAATTACGTTTTTGAGTTAATTTAGATTACATCAAAAATTTCATGTTTTACTCCTCAATTACAATATTCACAAACGTTTTTCAGGCGTCTGTTTGCAGAATTTAATAGTCCAGGTCGTTTTTATGTTTAAGAAGTAAACGAATCATAAAATTCTAAAAACTTGGTTGGCTTCCTATTTAAAGTATGCATTATTAAATGTTGTGAACCTAGCGGGCACTGATAAGATGAGATTTATTATAGAGGGCATTATTAATTTGATTAGAATAAAATTATTTTTTTTGTCAATTAATCTAAGAATTATTTTTTGAAATGATAATTTAATACAAACATTATTTAATTTAGAATATTATATTCTTTAGATAATATATTGGTTAATGTGTTTATTTCGTGGATTTGTCCCTGTGCCTGTGATTTCTTTATGTATTCACGATATAAGTTAAAAACTTTAAATATGTGTCATCGTATACACGAATATTTAATGGAGACAGCGTATAATACCTTAATAATCTACAACCAAATCGTGAAGATACACACATACATAGATCACCCAGATACACAATTAGTACATACGCTATTGTTTTCAGGTAAATCCTCAATGTATACACACAATTTAATCTTTGACCTCAAATTAATTAAGTGAATACACTTTGATTAAGTTACAAATAATGACGTCATCAATTTGCACCTAATGTCGACAGGTAATTTGATTAGAAATGGCGAAGACAGGTTAACGTTGCATTGCTATAGTTTACAGGTTGTTGAAAATTGAACATTTAATTTGTTTGTTAATCAATGAGTATTTTAAATGTGTTTAAGATTATTCACTACTTTAAAAACAATTATGTGTCTTTAGAATATATTTCAATCATTTGGATATTTACATACAATTCTAAGCCTTGCACCATTACCCCTTCCCTACCCTAATAATATTAACATTAAATATGTCAAGAATATACATCGCTTTATAACATTTGTGTATCGTTAGAATATATTTAGATATTTGTAAGAAACATAAAATTCTAAACATTGCACATCTCGGTGATCTTTACCCCTTCCCCACCCTCTAATAATTAGATAGTCTCCCGCCTCCTCCAACAAATAAATCATTAAAAAAGGAATAACACGAATAAAAATCAGTTAATTGATTTCTAATGAATATCTTGCCATATACTTAATAGATATAATTAAATGTCTCTTCTCTTCAATATTTTTTCTAGCCTAATTTAGATATAATAATTTTTAACCATATTTAAATGTTAAAAGTGGAACCTATATTAAGCAATCTAAGTTGCTATTAATTATTCTAAAAATTTGGTTTTTCATACTTAATGTTTAACAATTAATAAACATAAGACAAATATTTTCAACAATATTATTCTCTAAACCTCGATTTTAAATTTCTAACGGAGAAATGACATTTTTTCTATTAACCACGCGAGACTATAACGCGAGATTTACCATAATGTTGTGAATCGCACGTGACAGAAACCGGTCTATTTGACCTCAACATAAATTTGATTATTGAGAAACAAAACATTTTCTTTATTAAACTGTCTTTCAATTTATTTTCGTCGAGAATTTTATTTATTTAACAGATGTACTCGGCTTGATGAAATGAGTAGATAAGAAAAGCGGAGACGATTGGTCTGCGACTGTCACAACAAATTCTAGCAATGATCATAGTAATTGCTTTCATTACAATATTCTCTGTCGGTGAGTCACTAAAAAAAAGGAATGGGACTCAATTTTCGTCCCCGACTCCACTAAGGATATTCTTTATTTGTAGAAAAAACAGCTCAATTTCTGGATTAAAATAGACATAGCAATGAGCAAGTTAAATAAACGTGAATAAAGATATATACACACGCCTTCCTGACGGCCATATTTAATTGTTTATATGTATTTCTATTGGTCAAAAATTAAAATAATAAAATATTATTTTTTCAACAAAGAAAATCGTTTTTTTATATACATAAAATAGAGATAAATTTGTATAAATACTTTACAAATATTAAGAATAAAAGTAAATATATGACTAATTTCAGAAAAAAAAAAAATATTAAAAATACAATTGACCGGTAATATGAAGAAAGGATGCTGAACTATTCAATACATTTGTGAAGACGATTTAATGTTTGTTATTGTTTAAACGTGGCTATTATGTTATGACTTATATCGCACTTAGTTATTTTGTGTGTTTTTGTTTTTGGGGAGATTTAATTTGTAATAACTACAATTTGTAACAGTAGCCTTAAGATTTTCTGTAAATAAATACGGGATTTGGTTGTGACTTGGTTCTATACTGCGGTAGATCTAGATAGTACAACTAGAACATATACAGATAATCTTTTTACTAAATCACGTTATCCTCTCCTCGCATCAGCCTCGGTAAATACAAACTTTTACTTCTATAACAATTAAACACTGGAAATTTGCTACCGTTTCCAGTACTCTGATCTCCACTAGTGACCAATTCGCACGTTGCGACATTTTCACCGCCGTCACAGCTATCAGTAGTTTGCACCATTTCGTCGTGTACAACTAGTATAGATTTTCCCCGAGTAAAAATTCAACTCATGACACGCTCTACAGGCAAAAGTACATATTCAAGATGGTATTTTTTATTGAAGGAATAAATGACATTTGATAGATTTTCAACAAACTATACTCTTAACATCGAATTCATTGTAGCATGTTTGTTTTCAGGTAGAGATTGTCTCAATTACGCCTCTCGACCAATCACAGAACGCGCACCTGTAATAGGCCACGCCTACCAAGCTATATCGGCTTCTGATTGGTTGACACAGTAGTGATAAGTGACAGACAAGAGAAGACGTCCCATGATTCGAGGGTACTTGAATTACAAGTTTGTAAACAAATGTAACCTCGGCAGTGTGATATATAGTAGCGAACGGATCATAACGCTCTCTTACAATCTTCACGCTGGAGAAGACGACGTTCTTGGATAATACCTTTCCCATGTTAGATTCATCAGCCACGTGTGATTTAGGCGAGCGTAGTGCTGGCAGTCCGATAGATATGAAATCCAATCAAGTAGATATTAATCATCTGTTGACCGCTGTGGATACTGAGATGACAATGGGGAGTGAAAAGGGTGACCCCACTGAACGACAACTCTCAGTGAAATTAGAAGACAGATCATTATGGGAGAAATTTAAGGAATTTACGAATGAGATGATAGTTACAAAAAATGGCAGGTTTGTAGTTTACGTTTTTCCCTTTTCAACAAAAAAGATTTTCATTAAATTATGTTAATTAGTATTGTGTCATATTGTCAGACATGTTGACCTATGATGACATCATTGATTTTGACGCCCGGCATACTAAGCCACCCCTGTTGAAATGAGTAGCAGGCTATATCCCCAACTTATTTACATGGTCTGGCGTGCTTCGTGTAAAACTAGCGTGGAAATAAATCAACTAAAACACTATCTTCCGGTGTCGACGTAGAAATTTAAACAGTCAACCGTATTTCTTGCATGTTTTTGATTTCATACCTGTCAAATTCAAATATAAACACTTTGTGTGCATGATATATTCACCAGGTACACATTCATAATACACGCCAATGTAAATATCATATCGCACCGGTTAATTTGACATTATCGTTAAATCATATAGTACGAATCTTATAAGCAATTACCATATGTACTCGATGTTGTATTGTCCATTATTGATATTCACCTAAAACATAATGTAGCATTTCACCGCAAATATTATATTAATTGATTGAAGCCGTGTAAAATTTAACGAAGATCTATCTCCCGCCATTTGACATTTATTCTGATAGACATATATACTAGATCGTATTATTTATAAATCTAAAATGATAATAATCTGTGGTATAAATGTATATAGGTTTATTGACTCCACCCACCCCTTCATATCGACCCAACGCACATATTTCGTGATGTCAGAATACGCATAGATCTGTACTTTGACATGAAAGCATGTCTCTATCGTATGATTAACCTATCATTGATTCTTTTATTAATTCCAAACAAATTTTACATGTAGTAATCTCCATAAACAATATTTAAATATAAAATATACCATTAAAACTAATATAAAATATAAGTAAACAACATACTGTTAACCAAGACAACCTTATAGAATAATCCAGTTATTTTTGTAAATTTTTGAATTATGATAGGACTTTTAATTCTAATGTACTTGAATATTCCAATGCATGCTTCTCGGACTCTAATGTATGTTATTTTGTGAAGATATATTATTATATATTTTAGAAATTCTGAATAAACCACAATGATAATAATATAGTCAATACTTTAATATTGAAAAAACACAACACAACTTTATGGATAACAATCACTAGCAACTTTAATAGTGCAACGTTTCAACAAGTGTCCTCTTGTCGTTATCAAGCACAGGGTAAAAACGATAGTGTTTTTTCAATGTTAGTCCTATCACTAAATGCCCTATAAACAATACTTTAATAGATAGGTCTTTAATGCTTATGCTAATATTCAAATGCATGCTCCCCTGACTCTCATGTATGCTCCCCTGACTCTCGTGTGTGTGATTTTGTGAAGTACGGCTAACAAATCTGATTTACGTTTTTTCCTATATGTAATGAAAGCATCACTAATGTGTTAGATTTTACCTGAATAATAAGTAGGATTAAAACACGCCCCTTTACCATAAATTTATGCAATGATCATTTTTTGGTTCATCGACTCACACAAAAAATCGAAAGTAGAATTTAAAATTTAATAGAGTGTTAGTTGTAACACCTACTTAATAATATTATAACATATTTAAAGTATGCCAGTTCTATTTATATTGGCTGATAAGTCATCGAGGTAGACATAGGTCCTATGTATGTATAACGGGCCCTGCAGAGAGGTGCGGGGTTGAGACTACTCATAAGGACCTAATTGATTTCGAAGATTATTTTGATGATTAAATTTATTGATTTAAAATTTGTAATGTACCACTTTAAAAGTTGTGTTATGGCTTCTGATTGCGGGATCTGTAATTCAAACCCCGATAGAAACGTTTAAAGGCTAAGAAAAAAAAGGGGAAAGTGTGATCTTTTCTACAAGGATAATAAAAAAACCCAACGTTTTTTATAAAACAAAACAAAAATAGCAGTCGTCTTTGTTAGTTCAAAGACGCATGGTGTAGGTTGAAAATAAATTTATGTACGTTCACACCAGCTTTTTGTTAAACGACAGCGTATAAGTCCTTTTACAATGTTGACACGGCCACTCACAAAATTAAAGCCTGATATTACACCCACGATGGTCCTCTATAGATTTCTATTTCACAAGTCCACACCTAGTGCAGGACACGCATGTATCTAGAAAGAACCGATAACGTCCTTTGTGAATTCACAGAATTTGGGACAAATAAAGTTAATTTGTTTTTTGATACAAGACTCGCTTTGAAGAAAATCTGCGCTTATTAATACAAATATTATTAATCAATTAACAAACTGGGGACACGCAATTTGAGTTAACTGTCATCCAAATGTAGCATACACGTTTGGACGTGTATACAGTCATGTACAGTAGTGAATATTAAATATTAGAGTTATTGTATCCGAAATACTAAGGACAAAAAGCTTTGTATTGCTTTCGATTTACATTATACTAAATACTAAAGGTACGAGCTATTTAAAAATAATTATAACCGCCACAAAATGATATAGACCTACAGATATAATTCCTATATGCTACATGATTGACACAAAAAATATCATAGTTAATGAAGAAGTGTTATAATCAATTATTGAATGTTATAATTATTAGATAAATGTTATAATTGATAAATGTTATGATCAATACATAATAATATAATATTTGTGTATTCACGAATGTTTATTATTTCGTACTATGCGTATATTTACAACCCCGTTGTCATTAGCCAGATTGGCGCAGAAAAATAGGACGTTAAACCCCATTTCATTCTCCCATTCATTATATTTATAACACGTACCGTTTATTACATACGTATTCGAATAATAATTGCTATTCATATCAACTGGGTTGACACTAAATATAAAATTTGTCCAATTTTGTATTCATTTTCTAAATATTGATTAATGCTATCCAATTTATGATATTCTATTTGTGATATTCAATTAGTGATATTCAATTTGTGATATTCAATTTATGATATTCAATTTATGGTCAATTATGGTCTAAATTATATTAAAACGTATACGGAATTGACTTATGCCCATACTCCCAATGATTCTCATTGTATTCATTTGATTTAATAAAACTAAATACATAGTTTATTCCATGTTCGTGTTTATGATATGATATACTTTAAATAACTCCCAGTTTCATTTGACATTCCAATAAATAATAAACCATCTTCAATTTTTATTCTGGATGTGATTAATGTGCACGCAGAATGCATAATGGCTACAATTAATAATTAACGGCGTGCTTCCATCTGGTTTTCTAATTTAAAATAAAAGTTAACAGAAATCTTATATCCAAATTTCTTTTTCTATTCCCTTCTTCGTTAACCCGGATCGTGCAGGAAAGTAGGACGTTAAAGCCATTTTCATTTCTTTTGAGATTTTTTGCATATGGATTTGGGTTATACAGAAATGAGATAATTGCAAATTATGGTTTTGTATGTTTCATATTAGAGTTAAAACTTGTTTTAATAACTGATTCTTAGTCATGTTTAGTTAAAATTACGGCTATTCTAAGCCAAGAGAATATGAATTTTATAATACACCTAGAATTAAGGTTAAAAGGGTTGGTACAGTGAAAGCTCTTGTTTAGAATATGCATAATATTGCCTTATTATTCATAAACCGTAACAATAATAACAAACATTCAAAAATAACCGCAAACTATTCAACGCCACAATAATAGAAATACGTGTTGAAAACTAAGCACGGATGTGTCATACTAATAAGAAACGGAAAATAATAACAACAACAATGTCGTTTGTATTATTGTGCAGTTTATTAATAAACTAGGGGTGACACATTGTTATTAATGAATAATTTGTAACGGTTTAGTGGAGTGGCAGTTAGCCAAGATTTAGAACCAATGGATGACTTCTTCTGTCAGGGGAGGGGGTGGTCGAGTGGTCCATTCCGATTATAATGCCTACATTTTAGATCATAAGGCCTGTCAATAAGTGGCGTGCTTTCGAAGATGCTGTCAATAAGTGACGTGCTTTCGACGATCCCCCTCTCTCTCTCTCCCCCCCCCTCTCTCTCATATGACGTACTAACTGTGTGATTATTACAATGACGCAAATAGTTTATATATTATTAACTTTTAACGGCCCAAAACATATAGACTTACAATAAGTAAATATGTAACTATATATCAAATACTGTTTCTATTATTTATGATTTACATAATGAACATAAAAAAAACAACACATGTCAAGGTTTACATAAGAATTTATCATAATAGACCTGTTTACCAATTAAATATCGTCTAAATATACTTAAATTAATCCATTTCGCTTCTGTTTCTTGTGAACCATATTGTCCAGTTTGACCTTAACACTTCAACCAATATATATGTCACATGAAAAATGAACAATGGTTTATTATGAAATATTGTATCATTATATTTCACATATCATTCAGCTACTATCACATTAATAAATGAATAGATATAGTAATACACATATTATACAATTACTACAACATTAATAAATGAATAAATACTGTAATACACATATTATACAATTACTACAACATTAATAAAAAAAATAAATACTGTAATACACATATTTTACAATTACTACAACATTAATAAATAAATATTATAATTCACATGCTACCATATTAATATATATGTATATTCTATTTCACATATCATTCAGCTACTATCACATTAATAAATATATATTGTAATTCACATAGCATTCATATACTATCACATTAATGAATATATATTGTAATTCACATAGCATTCACATACTATCACAGTAATAGATATATTTTATTTGACATACCATTCAGCTACTATCACATTAACAGATATATATTTCACATAGCATTCATATACTATCACAGTAATAGATATATATTTTATTTCACATATCATTCAGCTACTATCACATTAACAGATATATATTGTAATTCACATAACATTCACATACAATCACATTAATAAATATATATTCTATTCCAAATAGCATTCAGCTACTTTCACATTAATAAATCTATATTGTAATTCACACATAATTCACATACTATTGAATTATTAAATATATATTGTAATTCACATATCATTCACATACTATCATATTAATAAATATATATTGTGATTCACATACCATTTATATAACATTAATAAATATATATTGTTATTCACATAGCATTGCCATACTATCACACTCATAAACATATATTGTAATTCACATTATCATTCACCCACATACCACATAAATAAATATTGTAATTCCCACATCATTCAGTATGTGTATATATACATATGAGTGGTGTGCTTCCCAGCCCCACACTTTCAAAAGACAATTTTTAAACAGAAATTTGAAATAGATGACATTTTGGTAGCATTCATTAGTTGTGGGGTTTTTTTTCGCATTGAAAATAACATTTTTATAGGTAAAAGTCAAGGTTTTTGTTGTTATATTCTGCTTGAAGTACTTCACAATAACAAAAGTCGACTCTAGTAATACGATCCACCTTCACAGGCTAAACACTATTTATTTTATTTAGTCTTAAATTTTACGATTCTAGCCGCTATTATCGGGCAATAATAGTCCATATAAAGCCGTTTAGTATAGAGCGTATTGAGAGTAGGCCTGTCTGTAAACGATGTCTAAAAGCGATGCCTATCTACTATAATAAAGTTCAGTGTTTCTACATACCTACAGCACACGCACATGGGTGGTGGCTTATGAATAATAGACCGCATCATTATTTATTATGTATAGAGCTGTCGTAATAAATCAATTTTAGTTTCTTTTCAAAGGTCAGATTGCTTCTGACAGCTTATAGACCCTTTGAAAAATGATTAACAATCGTTTTGTGATTTAATAGACAGGTTTAAATGCTAAAGATAGGGTTTTTAATAACTCCAAATATAACTATTTATAAACGTTTCTATTTCGTGTTACTGTATCATACACGCATACTTGTTTACTACTGATGATAAGAACACAATGATTAAAACTGTTCGGTGGTTGTAATAGCACAATTCATAAATATATATTTTTGTTAAATCCATTATGACGATATCTTTCATACTTTTTATATCTTTCATAAAGAAACAATGCAAACTTTACAAATCTTAATAAACATGTATTACAAAGACATTAAACATTAGTTTTGTTTTCCAAAATTGATGCATTATCCACACATGTATGTTATATAACATTTTGCAGCATCCATATTATGCTATATATATCTTAAACAATGCTCCTATCATGCATTATACTATATATCACTAACAATGCACATATCATGCATTATACTATATATCACTAACAATGCACATATCATGCATTATACAATATCACTAACAATGCACATCATGCATTATTATTAGTTATGTACCATGCATCCTTAAAAGTACTGTTTTGATACAAAGACGAAATATGTTATGTGTGCCGTGTATCACAATGACGTATTGTGATAAGTATTATTGAGCTCAAACGTACACTACTGTCATTTATGTATCTATCACAAGAAGCTATGTGTTATGTATTAAAAAAGCTATGTTATAACACACCCTGTAACTGTGCTATGCATCACAATAAACTATGTGATATGTGTTACACTCAGGCTATGTGTTATGCATCACAAGAAACGATGTGATATGTGTTACATGCAAGCTATGTGTTATGCATCACAAGAAACTATGTGATATGTGTTACATGCAAGCTACGTGTTATGTGTTGCCTGTGTATAAACAAGCAATGTGTTATTTATCATATCTAAGCTAATATATATGCGCTAAACATGCCATGTGTTATGAAGCACAGAATAGGGTAGATATTTATATCCCAATATTAGGCATTCAGATATTTTAACAAAATATACTTTTAGCATCAGTTATAGAGACAGCATTACAGATTGGGTTCTTCCAGTTAAGTTAGACCTTGGGTTAATGGCTTATTATTAAAATTTATATGTAAAATGAAAGCAGAAAGAGACACATCCACACTATCTAATCGAGATTGTTAATAATTTATAAGGAAATAAATTGAGGGGGAATGGGGATTTGGTCGTCTGTACCATTAGCCATGTTGAATTAATTCACCATCAGCCCAGTGTCTAATCTAACTAATCAATCAGAGTATTGACAGAGTCAAGAAACAACGCGTTAAACAATTTCCACCGTGTTAACTATTTTTACAAAGCTAGAAAAAAAACAACGATAAATTACACGTTTTATTTACAGAACGATGAAAGATTTATCATATGCATAATTTACTTACAAAATCTAGGAAAAAGTCTGTTTAATAAAACTATACTGATCCCTTCTAATTTGGATCGTATTAAAATTTAGTAACCGAACAGAATAACTTCTGTGTAACTTGTGTTCCATATATAGTGTCATGTGTTATTGCAACTTTGCGCTGATTCATATGAAAAAGCCGTTTAATATCACAGGATTTCTTGTTAATACATGTAAAATTTGCAACATTTTTCGAAATCCTCAGCAATTTGATGAAAAAGGTTTTTTTTGTGAATTTTTGTTTGACACGACTTTGTAATACAGACAAAAGGACAGGTGCTTGTTGGTATTTTCATAACGTTACCTGGCTGTCCTCAATACTAAGTTGCCATTGATATCAATAATTATGCCCCACCCTTTTAGAAAATGCGAAGATTTCTAAATTCTAAATATTATCTACCAATAATTTTATGCTTCTTTTATTAATTGGTCTTTTGTCTTGATTTTCCAGGCGTATGTTTCCTGTATTCCGTGTCTCAGTGTCCGGTGTAGACCCGAATGCCATGTACACGTTGCTATTGGATTTTGTTCAAGTGGATAACCATAGGTGGAAATATGTAAATGGAGACTGGGTACCCGGGGGTAAAGCGGAACCTGCTGCCCCAAATTGTGTTTACATACATCCAGATTCTCCTAATTTCGGAGCCCACTGGATGAAAGAACCCTTGTCTTTTAGTAAAGTTAAACTCACCAATAAATTAAATGGAGGCGGACAGGTAAGATACTTTTATTATTCATAAAATTTATGTCATGGCGAGATTATAAATATAATAATAACATTTCTCAAAAAACATGCCCTTAAGAAGTAAAACAACCTGGATTGTACAAATAATATCAAACTATAGTCTAAATTTTTTTTTAAATGCAATGAAATGAGGTTTAACGTCCTACTGTTCTGAAAAATTTAAAGCATGTTGATCTATATTTTGGTGAAGTGGTAATACTTTATTTTTTAATTATTCATAACTATCTTTTAATAAATTGGTTATAGATTTTTTAATTATTCATTATATCGTTTAATAAATAGGTTATAGATGTTTTAATCATTCATAACTATCTTTTAATAAATTGGTTATAGATTTTTTTAATCATTCATAACTATCTTTAATAAATTGGTTATAGATGCTTTAATCATTCATAACTATCCTTTAATAAATTGGTTATAGATTATTTTCGTAACATATGAGAGAGGTAATATAGGTCTAGCCTGTTCCTCAGTTATTTTCTGTGAATAAAATAAAGTATCAGTATATAAAATACTCCCATCTTCAAGTCGGTGCAGAAAAGTAGGACCGCGGCATTGAAATTAATTCTATGAGAACAAAATAGGAATAAATATGAAATGATTTTTTTTTAAAACTTTGTAACCGAAAAATAATATTGATTTTATCCCAATTTTTTGTCAAATAATCAATTTTTTAAAAATATGTAACCGAAAAAATATTGAATTTATCCCAATTTTTTGTCAAATAATCAAAAACTGTACAAAGATAAAAGATGATTTTTCTCACTTTTCTGCTTTTGCTTATCCAAAATGTTTGCTTAAATATTATTTCGTACACCCATCTTACATACATGTAACCTCATTGTTATATTTATGCGAACAAAATTGAACATTATACGTTTTTTTATATTTACTCTTTCGACGGCTGGGTTGGTTATTTTTAAAGTTTGATTTTCTCTTAAATAAATATAAAAAAGACATGTACGTAACTCATATATATAAAGACCAATTAACACACATGCAGATCAACCAATAAAATACCGTCTGTGATTTTCACATGCGAATATTTATATTTAATATATAAACATGTATATCTGGCCTACTATTTCACATGAAATGTCAAATATACGTCAGAAAAGGTTTGGGCCTCAATATCAATTTGAGGTCGTGTATACTTGTGACATTCTGCTGTAGAGTTTTAATTAGTTTATTAGAAATGAAATAAAAAGGGGTTTATTTAAAGTTCTGCATTTCTGCAGTTTCTCGGCTAATGAGGACGGGAAGTTCATTAGAAGTGTCAAATTGATGAAATTACACAAGCACCATTTTTCATTTATAAACGTTGATTTTAAAAAATCCTGAAATAAGAATTTATGTTTAATTTTTAAATTATACAATTTATTAAAGAAAAAATAAATTTTCAGTTTTCGGTTTTCCTTCATTACTTGAATTTACAAAAATTTAAAATAGAAACAAAGTTTAATGTATTAAAGATGAATCTTGAAGACAACGTATACAAAAATAATTTATTTAAGATACTGTAACTATTTTACCTGAACTATTTAGGTGGGAGGGTGCAAACCTCATTTTTAACATCCCGGAAGGATAACCGTTTTGTCGTTTATTCACGGCTATTTCCGTCATGTTCTCACGGTACCAACAGTCAACGACAGGCGGATTATAAAGCTTAATAGACATAGTATGTTTAGTATTAATCCCCATTTTTAAGGATAAAAAAATAAACAACTTAGTTACCGAAACAGTGAACGGATTAAGTTTTATAATGTGTTGTACAGTACTATTAATTACTTATGGACATACTTATGGACATCAGCTACTGATATATTTGGGCGACGTTTTGAAGAGGATTCTCTCGGCGTTATCGAAACGTCACCCACATATATCAGCAGTATTATAAGTATGTGTTTTAGTTTGTTCTACTCAATCCAGTTACTAAATGTCTCCTAAAAGATTATATTATTTATGATGTCGTTTAATTCCATAAACATGAAAATAGGAAGAAATATCAATACCAAAAAAATCCTATCATTTTATGCAACATCTTTAAAATCTCGTAATTTTAACCATTCGATCGATATAAAAACCTAATCGATTTTAGATAACTAATAAATTTGAGCACACTTTGAGGATAACTTGATAAACAAAGACTCGTTAGTATGTAGACTGGATCAATAAGCGCTGCTGAAAAAATAATGATAATGCTGTTCTGCTTTGAAGAGCGTCTCTTCCTTTTCTTTTCATAGCAAATCAAAACGACAATTATAGGTAAATAAAAACAAATACAATGCAATGTTTTTAAGAATTATTTTTTGTTAAAACATATATTGTGAATCCAACAATAAAAATATAAAAACAAACTTTTTTTAAAGCGTACAATAGATTATATTATACGACATCATATTAATACATACATTATCAAATAATGGAAATACTTTTTTTTTCACAATAATGAAAGTATTTTGTAGAATAATCGATTCAATTTCTTTTAAAAAGGCTTTTATGTTATCTAATCAAAAACTGGACAAAAACACGACGGGGGTTTCTAGAGTTATAATATCCATGAGATGACGTATCATTCACCATTAACATAAAAATTATATTTTTTGTAAATTTGAATAATTTTATACTTTCATTTCTGTGCTTTTTTAAAATAAAATGACGAGTCCCCTTGTACATATTAATTTAATTCGGGAAACGGGTATTCGTACCATTCTCTTCGCTTGACACTTAGTGACACGCCTTTTCATAATACTGTTCTATGCATATACATGAGACTTATATCTATATATATATTTGAGGTCAATATGCATACATTTTTAGGACCTTTCTCTCGATGTTTTGATAATAAGTTTGTTCAGATCTATCGCTTCGCTTGTTTCAACTGGAAACGCACAGGTCACAATTCTATTGAATACAGTTACTGTTTTTTTACTGAGCGACGGGTCGACAAAACTTCTTAAAGAATTGAGAAGCCTTGTCGAAATATCATGTCAGTAATAATCAGTAATTTGCTTCCATAGAATTGTGACTTGTGTATTCATTCGTTCCATGTTGAATCTTAATCAAAAGTGACACGAATGCGATGTCTAAGCCAATATAGGCTAGGCCTACTTCAAAAATACGAAACAGGGCAACTTTTATTTTGTACACAAAAATGGCCACATGGTAACAATGGATATATTGAAACAAATAAAATAAATTGTGGACAAAATTTTCATAACTTGTGAAACCAAATATGTGATTTGGTGGTACATGTACTTGGAATGACCTCTGGGGTTATTGGTCCACTGTAGCAGAGAGTAGCATCCTGGTCAATCTCATGTCCACGTTTCACGCGTTCAGAATTCCATCTCGTGCACTACGTGTTGTCGTCTGTCAACAGTTCCCGCGAAAATCAAAAGAAAGGCTGAAAAAATACACTTCCTTTTTGCTAGTTGTCGTCTTATGGTGGACACTATATTGTTGACTGTCGCATAACTCATTCACACAATTCACAATGAAAACTGGAGAAAATATTTAAAGCAAAATAACTAAATGAATCGACGCGTTTACTTCGGATCTTGTCCAGTGGCGTGTAGATTTTGTAATGCCCTCCCCCAAGACGTCCTATTACTAAGATATGAGATATGTGAGAAAGGAAGATATTCTTTGAATGACATTTAGTAATTGGCACATAACCAAGGACGATGCAAAACAGATGAAATGAACTTTTTATTCAAAGTAGGGAAGATTGTACATATCGACATTAACTAAATTTTTAATTTCACCCTGGTTGGATACCCCCTGAAATGGATGTTCAGGACTGTGTCCTCCTGACACCCAAAGACCCCCAAACGCCCACCCCGCCCCAGTGACACGCCACTGATGTCATTAAGAAATCGTTCTCTCTGCAGTTGATCATTGATGTATTAAAATCAAACGACTGTTCAACGTACCAGTTGATGTTTTTAATCTGGTCACAATAATTATCTGTCATTTTGCAACTTTCGGCTAATTACGATGGTTATATTGCAGATCATATTACAATGTTTTACCCTTAAATTCCAGATCCCAGTAGGGAACTATTTAACACAACTGTCCTATTTCGTTTACTCTAAAATAGCAGATCTAATACTTAAGACCAGATATAACCAGACACAGAGCATTGGCTTGAAGATTGACCGAGTCGTTTTATCTTTTAACGTTTAGTTGTGAATCTCGGAGTTAACTTGAATTAAACCAATATAACAATATTGATGATATAATATTTAGTTTTAATGGTGACACATTGTATAACCCCTTCGACTTGAATAGCCTTCGTTTGGGTGATAAAGTAACTTAGTAAAACTCGGGTTGGGTTCAACGGGTTAATTTTGTTGTATTTTGCACGTTCGGCTAATATTTCACATATTTGACCCTGGTGAAGCTAACCCCTGGTTTAACCTCACTGGTCATTTGTTGACAATCGAGGGGCCGGACTTGAAACCTATACACGATTGTCGAATATATTTTCCCAGCTTTATATTGCATCAGGCAGACATGATACCTGTCTAGAAATTGCAATTAAGAATCTTAACGGTTGTTTCTAGTTGTGATTGGCGTTATGCACCATGCATGATGGTATGTTGACCTTGTCGGACCAACCAATACCTGATACCCGGTGGCATATCCTTGTAGGAGTTTGGGCGAGGGAGCATCCATCGCCATCAAGATTTTGTAACCATTGATGGATAAAACAAATTGTTTCCATCTTCTGCTACCAAACCGATTTCTAAACACACCGTAATCAAAGAATGAGCAACTGAAAGAAAAACAATATATATTCTTATATTTTATTTGATTTACAAAACTACATTCAATTATCAAACGAAATTAAAGAGACTTTTTGAAGAATGTAGCTTGAAGATGAATTGACACTTTCGCTTTAATAATAAACCAATTGAAAATTGAATGCAAACTTCAATTGAATTGAGCGACCATTAATCCTTTTTATTAAGTGTTTACCAAATACTTCAGAAATCTCCGGGCTTTTTACCCGATGTTGATATAACTGTAATAACGTCGATACTGGTGTGTATTTTCATTATAAATTTACAAAATCATTTTTATCTTCTTCCCCTTGTTATAAAGTGTATAAAACCCGTGTGAAGTTTTTCTATAGCTTGTCGACATGAATAAGCTTCAAAAGCCAGCGAATTTTTAAAGAGTTAATAGGGAGTTAGTCACTGGTCGTAACTGTCCCATCTTCACAAACCGAAGAAATCGTGGCGTTAGCCGTCTGCGATAAAATAACACAAGACAATTGAAGGATGTTATCTGAAGCGTAACAGTACAATATGCAAGTTATTGCTACTTTCGATTTGTTTGGAAATGGTTAGGGAGAAGGGGTTTTAAAGTGTTGATGACTAGTTTGCGATGATGGCTCCCCCTGGTGTAATGGCGAAGTTAATAACTGCCGTGTTGTGAGGCCATATTAATAATAACAGCCCACTTCGACACTCATTATTTTTCAATATACCCCTCTTGTGTACATGATATCGTTCCTCTATCCACTTTTCATTGGAGGAGAGTTTCTTTGATGTTTAAAACTAAAATGATAATATAAGGAGAAGAAACGACACACCATAACACTTAATAATCACCATGTACATATAGTTATTGTTGGCGGGAATCCATGCGCAACCCTTTTCCGTCCCCACGATGGCAGATGATAAGATCTTTTCATTGACCAATTTTTTTTCTTGCGCTCTTTTTTAAATTCTATTTCTTGGTTATTAATATCATATTTCTAGTTAATTTAAGGGATTTTTTATAGTTGAAATGACAATAATGATCTGTGCAGTTCTCCCTGTGGTCACCTTTCTAATTAGTGACAGAAATTGACACAGACATCTATACCTATTTCGTATAATAGTTTTTGTATGTAATAAATTTCTTCCTTTCTCATTTCAGATTATGTTAAATTCCCTTCACAAATATGAACCTCGAATTCATATAGTCCGGGTAAATTCTCGTACTCAGAAGAAGAGTATTATGACGTTCAGCTTCCCAGAGACACAATTTATAGCCGTCACAGCATATCAAAACGAAGAGGTTGGTAATCTGGAAATATAATTTCATGCTTCGGGATTATCCATGATCAAAAAATTACTTAGCCGTCTTAAATACATTTTCTCCATTATTCAAATTATTCCCCGCATCCAAGTACAACACTGGTGATTCTATACATGTATATCTCAAAACTCAAACCTAACGATATTATTCATTCTTTTTCAGATCACATCCTTAAAAATCAAACACAACCCCTTTGCCAAAGCCTTTTTAGATGCCAAAGAAAGGTGAGTACAAGTTTCTAAACATGTAATCCTTTTTTAAAAAGTTTTTACAGGATCAAAGGAATCATTGTGATATCCAATATCGTCTAACTTAGAGACTGCATCTAATAAAAAGCAGACAATCCTTTTAGAATACTTTTCATGCACTCATCAAAAGCAGGGGTAGGATTTTACTTCAGTAACCATGTATAGGAATCTGAGATGACAGTTTTCAACATATTATGTCTTATTGAGATATATATACTATCATTTAAGTCTCGGCCTAGACAAGGCAGCCATCTTGTGTTTTGGGTTCGTTTTCCGCTTCATTTAAAAACTAGAAAGGCTAGTGAAATATATATCCGTGGTGTATGTCATTGCGGTGACAGCAAGATAGCAAGAGGCTAATGGACACTTAATCATATATATTTACAAATAATGACACGCAATTTACACACATACAATAATCTTAGACATTATCTTATAAAGAGAAAAATCAATTTTAAATTCCCGAATTTTAATCAACTCGGTTTTAGCAAGTTTGGGAACTGAAAACGAAGGAACGAAATTTATATTAAATTATACGATAGTGGCTTTAAAGTGGATTAATGTGTCGGTATATGAGACCTTAAATTGGGGATTGATTTAGGGGTCGAATTACCCTAATTGTTTTGCCCAACTGATGGCTTGTTTATCTTATAGAATATAATGAATAGTTTGGGGGATTGTGTGAGGTGTATTGGGCACATGACTTGGATTAGCACTATATCTGTTAACATGTTTATATTAATATAGCTAAAGAAAGCGTGTTATCCTACACCTTAAATACCAGCATGCACCCTGTGCTATAAATCATACAGTTAATTTAACACCAGTCAAAAGTCATCATATTATGAAATAAAAAATAGAAGCCCTTAAGAAGAAAGACATATCCTCTTGTAATATTATATACTAGTATAGGCATGAAGCTCAAAAAATTTTACACTTCTTGACAACAAATATACATTTTTTTATGGGTTTATTATGATAAAATATCACCCCCCCTTTAAAACCAATTGTTAAGGATCTTGTCAAATTACCATTCTAGAACATCTCATAAGTACAAAATAAATGGAATGCGTGGAGTTTTAAGTCTCTTTAGAAGAGGCCATTATATGTTAATCCATGCGACAAATCAACTTTATTTAAAAAATTTCGTTTCAGACCCGATCAACGAGAATTTATAGACGATCCATTAATGAGTGACCAAAGAACCTTTTCACATTGTAAGTATTTTTTTATATTATATAAAAGCACAAGAATTAACGAGGCGAAGAAGGTGTATATGAACTGTAATAACTTAAATCGAACAAATTATTTTACTAAGAAATACAGTACTCTATATTATTATATTAGATATAATACCTAATCCAATAAATTATAACCAGTATCCATGAATATGAAAATAAATTTCATCAAATGATTGAATAGCTCAGTCAAAGCACCACTGCTTATTAATACTCTTTATTATTATAACACAACACAGTTCTATGACAAACAATCACTATATTATAATACACACGACGTTTCGACAAGATTTCACTGGTCGTAAATTTGTATGCTTGATAACAAGCAGTGAAATCTTGTTGAAATGTCGTGTGTATATAATATTGTGATTGTTATCCACAGAACTGTCTTGTGTTATTATTAGTTTACCTTAAATTAGTTAAGACACGGACTTATTCAAAAATTGATAACTTATTATTGATTGCTATATACGCAAACACATAATATATAACTTTCCATACTTCTGTAAACTGATAAAAACATTAAAAAAAAACATAAAAATTAAAAATTTATCGTAAATTATATACAAAAGTAAGATAAAACTTTTAGCACAATAAACGTATCCTATGCAATGCAAATGAAGAAGCAAGATGTTAACCATAGCAACACCCATGTACATTTTAAGATTCCTTTAGTGGTTTTATAGCAAATTTTGAGTTATAAATAATTAGAGATTATTAAATATTTAATATTTTTCTTAAATGTAACAAAATTGGCCAGCTTGTACTGAAAAGACTTCCAATTTATACTATAATTCGGACATAAAACCAGTAGAAACTAATGGTCTAGTATTTTTATTTAAAATATCGTCTGTTCATTTTATTTGTTATCCTTTTAATTAAAGTAACGTTATGGTGATTCACCTGATATTTTATACTCATAGAATTTACTAAAGTGAGAATAATAGATTATTTAGTACGCGTACAATAAAGAAGGGCTAGAGTACTATAGACTCCAATATACCGTTATAATAGTGGACACAGTACAGTAAGCTGTATAATTAAACCATTGTTAACTAATACCGAGTAGATTTATTTCCTCTTAGCTAAAAAAGGGTTAACCTTTCCAAATTGTAGAAATTATCACGTAGAATGTAATTGATGTACAGGTGCCCGTCTATACCTGTAAATAACTCCTGTATTAAACAGTGGTAGGTGACCAACTTACTCCGTACAGGTGTTACTATATACATAACATAGACAAAAATACAAATTGACACAGCTAATATTCAGAATAAAACGCATTTATAGATGCTGTACCTTCAATAAGAAAGCGGTCAACGGAAGTTTCAGATTCTTTATTCTTCATATTTATGTATTTGAGTTGGCCTTTAATTTTATACACCATAGTAGCCTTCAAATTTGGATCTTTTTCATTTCTTGTTATTGTATCATTCGCCATTTTAGTCGCTTGTACATGCATATTAGAATAAAATGAATCCCAGAGAGAAGAACGCACAAAACGCTTTTAAAATAATAATGGGTTGTCTTTGGGACTTTACAGGTGTATTTTCCGTCCAATAATTGTGCAATGGTTGTTTGAGAGAATTTTATATCAATTTCTAAATAGGACGACGACTTTAAAATGGTCTTCCTGTCGTAGTGTCTTTAAACTTGACCTGTCTGTGTTTAAATGTAACTTGTTAGATATAGATTTAATGAACACAGCTGTCAGTACAATAACTTATCTATAAGGTGTGAACAAATCTCACTCAATGTAAATTTATTTTAGTTAGTTACACAGATAGCGATAGGCAAGTCTTGAAATTTACTAAACATCGTCACGCAATGAACTTAGAAAATAGATAAATTTAGTAGGCTTTCTCTATAAATTTGTATCTAATCTTAAAGGTGTTGCTTATTGCAGTTTCTAATCTCTTAAGATGGTATATTGTTTAATACATATATCAACATATAATGTCAAATAAGAAAACGTTTGACATTCACACAGACAGCCATACGCCAGAGGCCGGTTTCACAAAACATACTCAAAATTGTTCGATAGCCCTTTACAAAACTTTATTGTTTTAATGTATCAAATACATCAATAAGAAACTGTGTGCAAATTTTTGTTTTTCTGGATCAAAGATATTTCTCATAAACAGTGATTGAAAGTTGAGTAAATTCTTAACTGAAGGCTGGGAATGCTTTGTGAAACCAGGTCTGAACATTGTAACTTTTGGTAATTTTAAGACGTTAGCGAATAATGGGGAAAATTGTTCTCCCTTTGCAGCTTCAGCAATTTATCTTTTTCGTTGTTTTTTGTGGTTTGGAATAGAATAATTGATTTAACTTTATATAAAACGATACCCCAAAGTTTTATGCGCGCATTTCAGAAAAGTACACAACTTTTTAATACCCCAGTTATGCCTCGTTAACCAATAGAGTTATTCTGATGAATAGTCCATCATTACAGGTTAAAGCAAACACCTTAGTGTATGATGCGTTATAATTAAAAAGTTATTAAACTTTAGATCCTTCTTAGATTAACAAAAATTCAAATCATAAATCAACCCGTTAATAAGATAAATATTTATTTCTATGAATATCTACACCAGCATTATAATATTGAAATAACAACCTGCTTATTAAGTATTTTTATGGTACAAAAATTGAAATGCCGGCATGCAATTGTATATTGATTACTCCTAAGATAGAAAATGTCGTAAATCATAATGCAAATTAGAGTGTTCAGTCTTGGTGGTCTATGTAGTGTTAAATCAAGATTTATTCAAATTACAGACCACAAGGTATCTCTAAATATCATATATATACCACGCGAATTATAAAAATCTGCACACGTACTAATGCACGGTGGATTATTTAATCCCCCGAACATGATATTGCTTCATCTGTCATTAGTTTCACATTAATTACAACCATAGCTAATTATTGTATTAAAGTTAATGAGGCGTTAATAATAGATAACAGGTTTTAAATATCATAAAGATATTTTTTTTTAAATGCAGAAAAATATATGGATTCAACATAAATAGATTACATCATGATTGTGTTTCACGTGGAATTAATTTTACCTCAAATGTTTTCACAATTTAGATACAGATGTAGATATCACCTATATGACAACTTAATTAGCCCATACATCAAAACTTAAACTATTTAGAGATTCGAAGTAGTGCATATATGTTATATTCAGTTCTTCTAAAAGTGACATAATATGAATATTACAATGCACCTGGTCCATCTGGAAAAGTCACTTAAATAAAATACAACAAAAAAAATTATGGATTGATATATGTGAACATTACTGTATTTCCAATACATTCACAAGGGGTGATGCGTATTTGATTTAAAATGCATAATTTTTTTTTTTTTTCAAATGATTCGAAACGATTTTATCAAATTTAATTATTTTGTTTTCTTTTTATTTTAGTAACGGGTACGTGGTATTTACCACCCGGAAGTCATGCTCTAGTCCCCCCTCCAGCTCACCAATTCACCAACCCACTGGGTTTGTCGAATCCACATGGTTGTGATAGATTATCATTGAGGAACCCCCGACCATCACCATACTCTCATCCTTATCAACGACGATCACCGCCTGGTAAGACTTCAATTTATCTCAAATTTCAAATGTTGAATTGATTTTTAAAATTTGTAGAGCCGCCCACATACCCCACAAAAGCTGAGTCAAGATGTAAAATACGTAATTATCTGACCACGGATCAACATTGTGATTACCTTGGTTCATCGTCATAACATAATACACGGTCAACCACTTGGTCCAATCTACAACAATTACCATAGATTAACGTTGTAATTTTGACTCTAAAATAATAAGTGTTACAATTGGCGACATAATCGCAACTAGTTCACACGTTCAACAATTCATCTACACTGTCTTAGGTTTAAACTCTTACAACCGAGCTTATCTTACCATCGCTCCACCATTAGCCAGAACGCGACGTCGGGATAATATCACGACGTCACTCACGTAACTTTTGGCGGGCAAGTATTATGCGTGATTTGGCCCTATTGTTGTCACGTTGCGGTCCTCTAGTACCTTGTCTCTGTCAATACACAGCCTTGTTCAATTGGGTAACACTTGCCACTGCGTCTTAGACGTCACTTTCATTATCAGACACGTTTTCATCGAGAAAAAGCACTGATTTCAGTCGGACTGATTTTCATCAAGTTGTTTTTGCGAACAAGTGACAAGTCATTGTAACTATCGTAGTGTGTCACAACCATGCAACTTTTTCTCTAACACTACAAAATCTTCATAAATTTGTTTCATATCCTCACGACTGAACTTCACCGACGACTTAAGATTTGAGTTTTAAAAAATTTAGGTTCACTCCATACAGTGATACAAAATATCTAAATCTTCTGTGTACACTAAATTCACATGACACTGCGAAAGGATACAACTTTGTTGAAACAATAGAGACGAAAAGAAAAAGTCGTCAAATTTGGCACAAGTCACATGTTAGGGTTGAATATAGATCGTAATTTGAGCAGCTTATGCGTGATTATTAAGTATAGAATATCTTTAATCGTATTATTATTATTATTGTTGCGCCTTTGTATTATTTTTTTCAATGTGGTTCATGGGTTATCTACAAAGTAATAAACATTATACAAAACATTATACAAAATGATATTTTCTGCAGAAAAATTATTTAAGGCCTATTTGAACTGCTTATCTTTGAATAGTTTTAACACAAATAACCCTGCCAATGCCATTAAGTCTGCTCCGATACGAACACAGTTGGTTTGCATGATAGTTAGAAGTTTTGTGATTTTACGAGGATTGATTACAGAGAAAGGTGATTATAGTAATTGATTGATCAATGTCAGATGACTTATCAGTCCATTTTTTGCCGGGAAAACAAGGTTGTTGTGACTGACGCCATATTTGAGTGGGATTATGGGTAGATGTATGGAAACATTAAATTGCGATTAGCCAAACATGTTAATTTATTGATTGCGTTTCTATTTTTCAGGTAATTTCTCAAGGGATATGGGCTCCAACCTACCGATGTTAAACCTCACAGAAAACTGGGCACATATGTCAGCCAGCAGTCATGGCATGTTACCTAGCAACTCAGGTGGCGGTCAAGGCAACTATGGAATGTGGATGAGCGGTGCTGTTGGAAATTTATCACCCAATCAGAATTGTGCAATGCCTTATCTCCGAACGACAGCTCCATACTCATTCCCATCATCGACAACCACAGTAACTAGCATACCACCTGTGCCATCAGCCTCTAGTGTCGTCTCTCAATCTTCATACGAACATCCGTGTGATATCTCTACGTATGTCACTGCTCGAGATGGCGCTCGTACGAACTGGAGTCCGTTAACCCCTCCGCCATTATGAGTAGAACACGTCGCCTAGGGTGACAATCCATTTCTTGACTGTGATATTGAAACTGCAGGGCGCTATGCATCAGTGCTTCCTTTGATAAACTAAATGGTTTCTAATGAGCCTATCATGGTTGTTAATGTCACCATTTAACCCCTCAGCACGATCGGTTTTATTCTTTTACCAAAACATATCAACGACAGCCATTTTCAGCTCATTCTTCATTTATTTAATAAAGATGGCAGCCGGAATGACACGAGAAATTATAGTGTTGACATGATGTATGCTGGTTGTCTCCGGTTTGAGGGGCGCTGATTGAAAATGTCTGTTACCCGAAAACACGCAATCATCAAGAATGTGACGTTATGTCGTGGACGAGACAAGTCGAGACGTTATGAAACCAAAAAGTATCATATGATATTACTACTCCGTGACGAGGTCATTGAGGACATATATGAAAGACGATCACAAAAAAAGGAACATTCCACACAAAGAAATAGATCTAGAAGAGTGGGCGGCACAATGTTTGCGAAGTATGGACGAGGAACGTTTTCAAATGTTTGACTGCTCAGTGGGATCCAGTTATGGCCATTATTGTATAAAACCAAAATCTAGAGCAATAATAAATTATTTCTTGATAATCGAATCAATATATATACCTGTTGTACATTGATCTACGTTGAACCTAAAATTACTGTTGCTTAAATTTGTATATCATGTAAGCATATTGATAAATTACATTATTTGCCTAGTCTTCAAAGAAAATTGTAGAAAATTTAAGCGCAGGTGTGAAGTTGAACCTCGGTTTAAACATGATTTGATGTCGATCCTTAGTGAATGAACGTAGAGGAATTTGTGACAGCGCATTCCAGATATCGTCTGGTTGCAACGCAGTTCGGTCTCATTTACAAAATTCTTCATCATCGTGGTAAACCAAATTTATATTTTAAATGCAACTGTAAATGCCAAAAGAACTTTATACTTTTATTCTGGAAGTTACAAAATGTCGTCCATTTTAAATGTTATCAACTTTGTATACTTTATAATGAATATCGACAATATGGAATGGTTATTATCATTTTTGTCACCTTCAGCTTCGGTGTACGACAATGATTTGCTAACTCCCCGCTATCTGAAATCACAAACTGAGCTGGCCAACGACTTGTTGGATTTACACAGGTGTTAAAGAGTAAACATGTTAGTAACCTCGTATTTAAATTGTACAATTTGTAAAACGTTGGTAGACCAAGTCACTTTGTATCAGTGTAAATACGAAACTAACCATTATTCTCACTTCAATTATACGCGAGGACGACATATCAAGTTTAACATAGTTAGTATACAGTCTGTCTACATGTCACAACTGTCAAACCAACTTATATTAAAGGCTACCTGTTGATTTAAACATAGAATATTCAACTACCCCATTAATATAAATTACTAGACTAGGTCGACTGACAGGCAATGGAGTGTATTTAGCAATAATTGATATCTATATCGCTTAGACGTAGGCTTTTAAATTAGTTTCATTTATGAAAGATGTTTTTATTATTATAGGTTTTGTTAAAACCATGACGAAATCTTCTTAAACTAGTCGAGAAATCCAAAGCTTTCAATAAATTTAAATATCATTTTTATAGATTGAATTTCATCGTTATAGATTTATGTTCAGTTATTTTTGTGTTATCATATGAAATCCAAAGTAGGAATTACGAGGTACTGTGCTATCATTTAATTTAAATTCCAAAGAATTCCCAGGGCTATGTATATTAAATATTTTAAAGTGTGTAATAATACTCACCAAATGTGTTGAGGTATGACGATGTATTTATGATAAATATTATTTTTAAGTTAGTGCAAAATTGGATGACGTTTTATACTCAGACTAGGCAGTGGCCAAAAGCAACCGAACATCTTGATAGATAATATGTCTGAGTTGAACTCTATGTAACTTGGTCTCAATAATTTTTGTATAATATTTGGCTATTCCACTATCATGTCACCATTATTGTGGGATACTAAAACGTCATCATGTTCCGCTGAACACGTCATGGCTTCGATCTTTACGTCATCTTATTTTGTGCTGACTATTTATGCTAGGCATCCAAAGCATTGTGTATATAGATGTATATAATATTAAATGTATTATATTAAGTAATGTATATATTTAAGTAGATGTTATTTAGAAGAAAGTAAAAGTAAAGTTTCTCTGAGACTATGCAATGTTAAATAAGTCTCATATCATGCTGATGTTGATTACTGTTAAGAAAAATAAATTCGTATTTTAAAGTAGCCTATTATATTGTTATTTACTTTGATAGAAGAAAACTCGTATCTGAAAAAATCCCCTTAGATCATTTAATTATAGCGATATCACTCCCAGGAAAGCTAATGAGGGGTACTTCCGTTCCTCGTAATCGGACTACACTAGGCCTCTTCCATCATATCTAAATCTTACCAAAACTATTTTAGAGACACCCATCAGTTGTCTTCATGGGCAAGACTACAATATTGGACGAACCGCACTGTCCCACATACAGTACTTCCGGTCTAAGGCTACAATATTGGACTAACTGCACTGTCCAACTTCCGGTAAGTTAATCAAAATCAAAATGACTTCCAAGGATTCTAGTCGGAACACATTGCACAGAACCTCAAATTACGCTATCTGCATGGTTACATGGCCTTCAATAAATGATTTCGGTTTCAACGCCCTGAAATGACAGGTTTGTCCCATCTGATCTATGGTGTGTGATTGAGGTCCTCTCAACATGGACTTTTATAGCACAACGCAAGGGGTGGTTTCGGTTTCAACGCCTGAAAATGACAAGGTTGTCCCGTCTAATTTGTGGTGTGTGAGTTTACGGATTGAATTCTTCTCAAAGTGGGGAATTTCGGTTTCAACGCCTGAAAATGACAGGGTTGTCCCGTCTAGTGCGTGAGGTTATCGATTCCGTTCTTCTTAACATGGCCCTTTATAACCCCACGCAAGGGATGATTTGAGGTCTTGAACAAATTGCAGCTAAATGAAAAATATTAATATCAGCATTGAAAACCTCAGTAGAATATTTCCAAAACATCCACAGATATCTGTTCTCAAAGTCCCATTGACGAAGGCGTAAGAGGGTCAACAGGAAGGATCTTTAGAGTATGCTGATGGTGTGTGTAAAAAAAATAGTTCACGTACCACGATTCCCAAAAATACATCTCAGCTCATTATAGCCATATTTTTAAACCATAGCACGTCTACAAACAGTTTTTTCAAGTTTTCGGCCCTCGATGATCCCATGGTGTTTTTTTGTGGATTAGTGACTGTCAAACCACGTGCGATCAGCGATAATCGTTTGTTTGTTCTGTGCACCTATCCATTCAGTCCGTTAACTGGCATATTTACCTAAATTCGTATCCTGAATGTGGTCTGATCAAACTATACGTGGTGGCTGAATACTTGCCAGTCGGGTGTAGCGAAATAAACTTTACTAACGTTTTAATTGTTCTTTGGTGTCATACGGGCAAATAATTCAAGTTCCCTAACAGCTAAGCTTTTCGACAAATGATTATACATTGAAGTTGATAAGGCTTAAACATTTTAGAAGTTTTACTCACAGACATCAATATGTAAATATCAAATTATTTCAGCTACATTTAGTAACTGACTCAGAATAAGACAAGGCACAATTATGGATGACACGTTACTCAAAAATGACATGGGGTTTTACGTCCTACTGCTCTGAACCAACTGGGTAAATGAAGACGGACATACGCAATGCAGTAGGCTATGGGGGAATTTCGGCCAGACATCGTTGTATCCACCTAGTCGTTGTCGAATTCTAAATGTAAAGGGTTCTTTACGTGCACATCAATGTTTAGTCTGGTCCTCGGTATTTCGTGCCATCCTTGCCATCCGTCCATCACCAATGACCAGGGAAAACCACGCTGGGAAGTGAGCGAGCACCTTACTATGCTCTCTAGGCCAACATGGCTCCCAAATTACTTGGGTGTTGATTTCTGCAGGTTCCTCATCGTGATGATATAAACCACTGTTTGAAATTAACATCCAAGGTAATTTGTATTTCATGTATCTACAAATTAAGCCTGAGGGGCATTGATGAATTGGTTTACGGGTGGAGTGGGGCTTAGTTTTAAGTGAAATTAATAGACAAGCAATGACTACTATGTCATTCATTGTTGAGTCACCAATTGTGTTATAGTAGCCATTACCTATATACGTATAGGTTAATGTTAATTAGTTCAGTTATATTCAGCTGAGAGAGAGAGAGAGAGAGAGAGGGGGGGGGGGGAGGGAGAGAGAGTATGGCAGTATATTAGACTCAAAATTCTAACATGCTATCGTCTAATTTCTAACTTCTATTCATGTAATTTTTAACTTCTATTCATGTAATTTCTAAATTAAGACAATGTATAATCCAACTTCTTTTTTGTTCAGTGTAAATTTTAATTCTGTTTCATCTTATTTCTATTATTAAGACGAAAAATGTCTACTTTGTTGTCGCTTTACATGTTAAGCATGAAAGTCAAACAAATTTAGAATTTGATGCTTCTACTTAGCAACCATCATTATGACGTCGTTTGGGGTCGCCACCGTGGGATCGGGACCATTATGTTGATACCAACGACTCGCTCTTCTTCAGTTTGGATGGTTTGGCGGGGTGTTGAAATTTAAATAACATCGAACGTGACATGGTTTGCAAATTGAAATACTAATATATGATACAACTAAGAGGATGGACATGTGACCCGACTCCTTGTCACATACAGGAGTGGGATCAAAATCACGCCACTTGACTCAATGGCAGATTTTATGATCTAAAGCTCGCGTATTTTGTTGACCTGGATAAAAGCCACCGAAAATAATCTCCTATAAATTGAAGCAAACATTCAGTAGATATAAAAATGATCCACCCACGCCCAAAGTATGAAAAGCAATAAAAAAAAAGACTTGCGCTGTAAGGAGTGTCTGAATGCTCTTGACCAGAGGTTATTTAAGGTAGCTATGCGCGACTGAGGACCCTTGGGGTCGATCTAACAACCTCCTGTCCCTTTCGTAGTTTACTCGACAAGTATCTGTTGTAAAGACGGCCCAGAGAAGTTAAGAGATCTCGTCAGGGGACCTCCTACATTTTGATACATGTAGCTAGGTTCGGTTCGTTTAGTTATGATGTGTGTGGTCTTGCATTTAGAACTTGGTTACAAAGTATCCATCGTGTCTTTATCATAAAGTTTATTTTGACAAGGAACTTTGCTACCTGACGAACGCGCAGTGCTTACATAGATGATATTTATTTAAGATTATTAACAATACTCTCGGTATCTCATTACAGACTTGATTGACACCCTCCTGCATGAGATTCTTATTTTCTTTTCCACATAGACAAGTTTTTCTAACAAAATTGATGACATGAATCGTGTCAATATTGACAAGGGTCGTATTCAGTTGTTATAAACCTAGTAATGACGAACTACGACCAAACAAGTTGTACCTAAAACAAATTTGTAAATTCTAGAAAAACTAAACTCGTCGATGTATTGTCACAACATCGGGATGGATCAACTCGGTAATATATATTATAAAAACGAATTAATATGAATATTTTTTTTTATTTTTCATTTTTGAGGAACGAGTTGAACTTAGT